AAAAAAAAAAAAAAAAAAAGTTAGTAGAAAAAGAGGAGGAACCAACACCGGGAAGTGCGTTAAATCGCTAAAAGACAAAGAGAAAAGAAACCTCAAAAAATAAAAAATAACAAAAAATTAGAACTAGCATGCGATAAGCAACACATAACACACACGAGCAACACGTAACATATAAAAGCAACATATAGCACACAAGCAACACGTAACACGCAAGGAACATGTAACACGCAAGGAACATGTAACACACAAGCAACACGCAACACACACAAGAAACACGCAACACACACAAGCAACCCGCAACACACATGCGCAACACGCATACGCAACACACATACGCAACACACATACGCAACACACATACGCAACGCGCATCAGTAGAAACATATAACACATAGATAACAAATATAACACATAAAAAACATATAACACATAAATAACATATAACACATAAAAAACATATAACACATAAAAACATATAACACATAAATAACATATAACACATAAATAACATATAACACATAAATAACATATAACACATAAATAACATATAACACATATAAAACATATGACACATGCAACACATAACACCTTTACCAACGAGTCCTGGCCAGGGACTGCCCGATCCACCCCCTGGTGCCTATATTTATAACGTACGGCGTGGTGCAAACAAAGCCCGGGAGCATTTTCAGCTGTGACGTCACGTTGGCTATCACCGTAAACCAATCAAATACGTTGAAAAAAAAACATCGAAGTGAAAATAAAGCACCGAGGTTGGGAGCCTATCACGATTGAGTTTGCTCTTGGAGGTCTTAGAGCCTGAAAGGGCAGCCAACTTTTCTCCACGAAATATTCGAAACCGAATTGTAGTTGTTGCCAACCTTTACTTGACCCATTGAAGTGAAACCAGAGTACACCTAGGTTCGAAGACTTTCATAAGTAAAATCGTTATTTGGAGGCCGTGTAGGGCTTGAAAGGGCTGCCAACCTCTCCACATGAAAAATTCAGTCGTTGCCAACCTATAAATTCGAAGGGAAGATCCATCATAGTACCAAACCTAGTCAAGGAAAAATCCCTAGTTTTCGGAAAAAGAAAAAAAAAACTAGTAAATCCATCCATGCTCCATGACGACTCAAACGTCATCAGACGTTTGTCATTTGAACTGACCAACCCCAGCATCGTTTTTTTGGGTGACGTTATTCTAAATTCCAGGGTCCGTGGTCACACCATCAATATTTTCCTCATTATCTCAAGGTCATGTAGTCAAAAATATTGCGTGGGCCACCAAAAATTGACGGAAATGGTGTATAATGTGACGTCAATGTCGGTTAATCCACCGCGTGACCTTGAGACATCGACCGAAATATTGTTCATGTGACCACAGCATATTTTGATCAGCATATTTGAAGGAATTTGGAACTAGAATACCTCCACTGCAGCAATGCATTGTGGGGGAATACTTGTAAGACCCTCGTACACGGTCAAATTGCGAACAAACTTAAAAGTCCCCGATGACCCGAAATCACATCACTGGCCAGTGAAGTGTGATAGATGACATCTGAATTTGTTCGTATTGTAATCGTGTGATGATAAAACCAAGAGTTCTTCATGAATTTCAAGACGGACAATTGGACGTATTTATGCCAAACTGAACTATGTGCATTATAACGTGAGCCCTGCTATGCATACATTCTCATGGGTCTCAAGGCTCATGCCTAAATGCACATAGCTCCGTTTAGCAGAAATACGTCCAATTTTTTCTCCTTGCCCGAAAAGGTCGGTGGCCGTAGAGGTTCACTTGGACTTGGAGCAACCATGATAACTCCCAGGAGATCAAATTGCATACTCAACGAGATGAAGGAGCTTAGAATGGTTGCGATGAGTTGAAGTTGAAGTAAGGGCACCTTACGGCTTGTTCCTTTGACTTAATTTGATCGACACCGATTCGATTGACAACCGTGGGCCTGTGAATCGATCGACAAACTCGTGAATCGATCTACAAATCCGTAAGTCGATTGAATTTTGTCGATCGATTTACGTCGATCGAGTCGTTTCTTGTGTGTCTCGTGGAGATAAAAAATCTGCAAACAGATACCAAATTTTAACCGACTGTCACCAACCTCATGAAGGTTTCATGTACCTCGCGAGAGATAGTTCGGCCCGATATAAGGGTAGGGCGCTGCCAGTCAAAAGATGTTATGTAGGTTTGGCCGGAAAAATAATAAACAAATTTGAAAATTTTCCAATGTCGTTCTGAGAACAAAAACGATTGAAAAAATAATAAACAAAGTTCTTATTTGAGCAATCCTCACTAAGTTTACTGGGGGAAAACTAATGGGCCGACCTCGACTAAAAACAGGTTGTCGATTGAATGGACACCGGTTTTTTAATCATTTGTCGATTGGTTCACGTCGGTCGGTTCACGTTTTTTCCCCGATCGATTCATGTCGATCGAATCCCTACCCTACGATGAGAAACAACTTAATCAGCCAAAATACACATAATAAAAGAACAATTTAATTTGGGGAAAAGGCTGCAAATAAAGAAAAAGGAATAAACAAAACCCGGAACGTTTCAAAATAATTACAATTTCATTTTCTGAAAATGATATTGTAATTATTTTGAAACGTTCCGGGTTTTGTTTATTCCTTTTTCTTTATTTGCAGCCTTTTCCCCAAATTAAGTTGTTCTTTTATTACTACCCTACAATTTGTTTCAAAGGCTAGTGGATTTTGCAGGTGGCTGAGTCAGGTCCTGGACTGGTGTTCATCGCCTACCCGAAGGCAGTGACCCAAATGCAGGGAGCCCCGGTGTGGTCGGCTCTGTTCTTCTTCATGATAATCCTCATGGGGATCGACTCGCAGTTCGTCGGGGTCGAGGGCTTCGTCACGGCCGTCGTGGACCTCTTCCCTGGCTTCCTCCGCAAGGGCAAGCGTCGAGAAGTCTTCATCGCCCTTGTCAGTCTTCTCAGCTTCCTCATCGGCCTTACCATGGTCACCAAGGTAAACTAACCCCCAACTCAATGGCCACTCTCCATCTGAGTCCCTATATACCCAGAGTTACGACATCTCAATTCTGGTCGGGCTGAAAGTGGCCTAAAAAAAAATCCAATTCTGATTGGTTCTCGCTCATGGAGTCACAAAAGAGTGCACCAAGATGACGGTGGCTCGAATGTGAAAAAAAATAATGAAAATATTACCTAATTGTGATTTATCAAGAGTAAATTGTTATTTTCATTGCACCAAAATGATATTAGATTAAGAAATTATTCACAAATCAATCTCGTTTTATTTTATTACTATTTCTTTGGTCAGGTTTTGATCAGTTTTATTGATGTTGTTGTTTTTGGATGACAGGCATCGCAGGATTCTTTATCCTTATCTCTCAATATCGTTCGTTTGGGTGCACACTTCTGTGACACCTTGACCAGTCCAGGCCAGCTGATAATCGAGATGTCTTATCTCTGGGTATAAAGGGACTCTACTCTCCATGGACGGAACTGGGAACTGAGGGGAGCCAGAAATGCAGCTCATCAAGGGGGGTTTGGGGAAGGCACAAGAAGACATCAAGCTATACTGCCGTGCACAGGAAAAATGCCGTAACTCCAATCAGGATTTTGCACTGTTCTTCCACACATATTGTTGTATTACGAGAAAACCTGATCACAACGGTGCTTGATTTTGTAAAATTGAAATCTCAATGGTGTGCCACGGTTACTTTAGAATTAAGAAGGATCTATGGTCATTGGTTTCTTGGTACTAAAAAATTTTGTCCGTAAACAGCAGACTAAATCTAGAATGGAGTTACGGAGTTTTTACCGAGAACGGCAGTACAAAGGGAAGGTCCTATTTATAGGGAGGTCTGTGCTGCACTGCTGCCGTGCCAAGGAAAAACGCAGTATGAGCCCTCTGACGCTGAAAAATGAATTTACTGGGAAAATTATTGACATTTTTCTTCAATTTTTCAGACCATTTTCGACCGCAATTTAATCTAAAAATCTTAAAATTTTAAGAAAAACAGCCTAACTTTCCTCAAAAATACATGTTTTATCCAAGAGAAATTTGACACCTTTCAAATGTTCTTACGGCGTTTTTCTTTAGCACGGCATTGTGGGATTCCTCCAGCTCAAAGGAAAGCTCGAGGAACTTCTGTAGATTGAAGGGGAGGTCCAGAGGGCCTCTCCCGGAAAATTTAAAACAAATTATGTCATCTCAGGATCATTTTTGAGCTATTCTAAACGAAAAATTGATCCAACTACAATTTCGAAGATAGAAGATAAGTCACGCACAGACTTGGCATAGTCCTTCACATATTTTCGAAGGGGTCGAGTAGATTTCTTGGGGGTCAGGCCCCTCCCGAGAGTTCATTAATTCATAAAATTGGGAGCGATTTTTTTATGTATCTTTAAACGACCCTCAAAAATTTCATGCCAAGATGATAATTGATGTCTTTTTTTTAAAAGAAAAAAAAAAAGTCAGAACAACAATCATAAAAAAAGATCTACCAGGTTTTTTAGTTCCTTCATTGCCATTTTTTCCATATTAACGATATCTCAATTTCATTTTTAGGGAGGAATGTACGTGTTCCAAGTATTTGATTACTACTCTGCAAGCGGCATGGTGCTGTTATGGTTTTGCTTTTTCGAGGCGGTTGCCATGGCTTACTTTTACGGAGTTGATAATTTCCTGGCGAATATCAAAGAAATGGTCGGCTACAGGCTCATACCATGGTTCAAGCTTTGTTGGCTCGTGTTCACGCCTGCTCTTACAATGGTAAATCCATGGCCAAAGTGCAAAACCACGTGCATTTCTGACGTTGCAGACTTCCTTTCATATATCAAGCTATGAAGTTGGCTCACAATTCTTCGAAAAAATAAAATCGAAGAGGAAATGTTGGAAAATAATAGTAACAATTTATCTCCATTTCAAATAGAGATACGTGGCTTCGCGCTTAAGACATCGAAATCAGTTTCTGTATTTATTTTCTTTCGCTTCATAGTAAGAGACTTTGGTAACGAAGCCATAGTTCTTCGTGTTTACCATGATGAAACTGAACAAAAGAGAGGCAACTGAAATGATTCGGCTGTAAAATGAGCTTTCAAAGAAAGCTTTACTAATTATAAAATGAACAAACACCAAATTGAAACACTGAGTTCGCGGACATCTGAAACATACCGCTCAAATTTTGGTCCATCATCTACTCCAAGTCCGTTGATTAATAGTTTATAGGCTCGTTTTTATTTCAATTCATAGAAACTCATTCTTCACCGTTCATTTGAAATTTGTTTCAATAATAAGTGGAAGATTCATCGAGGTTACAGCGTATTATTTTTCAGTACATTTCAATGAAACAAACCAAAAATCGTCAGATACGTGCAACGTGCATATGTGTCTCAGGCAATTTGCAAGCAGTATGCGTGTTAACTCGTCAAATTATACACAAATTTATATTCACACGGAAAGATTTCATTGGTAAAAACACACCAAAGCACGACCTGGAGTGCCTTCAAATCCCAGCGATACTCACCGCTTACCGGGAAGCTAGTTTAGTTGCTGAATACAAAAACGAATCTCTTCGGAGCCCCCAGTCCAGTATCGCAGTGTCCCCAGACGTTGGACCCATCCGCAAAAGCACGTATCTGCTTAGAGAAACTGATCACATCTGTCGTTTCTACAATAAGCCACAAATTGTAGTTCCTTACTACAAAATGTGGTCAATTTAACCTGATTATTTTTTTGGACAACCGGAACGTCCTACTAATAGACTCTCTCAATGATTTCAGGGGATCTTCTTGTTTTCTGTATTCTCGGCGTTGCCTCTCACATACAATCGCACATACATCTATCCAACTTGGGCAATGGTCATCGGATGGTTTATGGCTTTGGTGCCTATGTCAGCGATACCTCTTTATTTCTTCTATTACCTATTCTCCCAACCAGGATCCTTGAAAGAGGTAAGCAAGCTACCTAAATTCGTTTTTACACCCCCCAACCGTGAAGTGTGGAGTGGTATCATGATCATGTCGTTGCTCCTCTGATATAAGAGCGTATCTCTATCTCCACATGACCCCAGCGGGCCGATTATTGAAACTGATAGGCAAAGCCATAGACAAAGGAGACAAAAGAGATACGGAGGGATCCTAATGGTGGAAGCGGGTGGTTGCAATGGACAAAGGAGGTAGGTAATCGACTAACTAACGGCAACCCACGAGAGACCCGACAGTTTATCATTTTCTCCCTTTGTCTGTAGGAACCACCCGTTTCAACCAATAGGATCGCTCCATACTCCCTATGTCTTCCTTGTCTATAGCTTTGTCTATCAATTTCAATAATCAGGCCGCTGGAAGGTATGGAGTTATATGGACCATGGGGCTCACGAAGAAATCGAGATACGCCCTTATACGTTAGAGGAGCGAAGATCTAAGCTAACTAAAACAGTGGCGTGGCGTGCTTTCCGACATATCCATTGATCTGCCAATTTAAACCCATGGAAAAATATCGACAGGGTGTTCGCAACAAACACCTCAACAATCGATTCTTTACTACAGCTTTAAATATCGATAATCGATCACTCACGCCTCGCCACTGGACTAGAACTTGAGCTAAGCGCGAATAATAGTCCAGGCGCCTGGTAGCTAAAAATGAGGCTATACCTGGAATTTCGGGTACACAGCGATTTTTTAGGCTTACTTCATGTTTTTTGGGTCGCTGAATCCGAATCTGAAGTTTCCTACCGCGTATCTGGTGAGCATTTTCCGCCATTTTAAAAAAATGGCCTAAAAAGGCCTTTTTGGGGTTTTTTTTAAATAGCGGCTACGCATGAGAGAAAGTCCCGGATTTAGTTAATGTTTCAATAGCTGACATAATTTGGAAGAAAATGGTGTATACATATGCTACATTTGCTTATAATTTGAGGAAGATACAGCATCGTGAACATCGCGCCCATTCACGTTTTCGCGCGTCAACGCGCGATCCGGCTTGCCGCGGTCAGCCAAGTTCCGAAGCGTTCCAAAGTTCCGAGATCCGAGGTTCCTCAATTTTTGAGCAATCCTAGCAGATTTATATATCATATTATTCCAAATTTTGTCAGCTATTCAAAGCATTAACTGAATCCGGGACTTTTTCTCATGCGTAGCCGCTATATAAAAAAAACCGCAAAAAAAGGCCTTTTTAGGCCATTTTTTCAAAATGGCGGAAAATGCTCACCAGATACGCGGTAGGAAACTTCAGATTCGGATTCAGCGACCCGAAAAACATAAAGAAAGCCAAAAAAATCGCTGTGTACCCAAAATTCCAGGTAGACTTACCAGGCGCCTGGACTATTTAGACAATAGACGTAAATGAAACATTCAAATTGAACAATCGCACTGTTATTATCAGTTCGCTAGCAGCACATTCAAATTATATATTTTATTGTATCTTGGAAAAATCATGGCAGATTTTAAAGTGTTCAAATTCGTTTACTGGTTCAAAATAGGCAGTGAAAAAGTTGCAACGTCGCAAATTCAGGTATGGATATTTTTTATTTCACCGTCGATGATGAGAAAATGTGTAACTACGCACGCGTTAGAGTGTAATATCGGCGGCAATCGTGGTCTTCTGCCATCAAGTCGAGGCGAAACTCTTGAAGGCGCTCTGAGCAACTATACCACCTCGGAAGTATTGCACAGTATCAGACGAAATTGATGGCGCACTAACGTAGGCAACTTGACTGGTAGCGTTTATCGTACGATATGCGGGATCGCTTCATTTTCCCTATGTCTCGTTATCTATCGCTTTGTCTACCAATTTAAATAATCAGTCTGTAAATAGAGTTATCCAATTATCTTACGGTTCAGGTTTGAAAGCCGCCAATTCCAAGTTTTTGGTAATAGGTAAAGACAAACTTAAGCGGGCTGATAATTGAAATTGAAAAACAAAGCTATAAACGAAGAAGACAACGTGAAAATGAGGCGTTTATATGAGTGAAAGCGGGTGGTTACAATGGACAAATGAAGTGAGTAATAGACTAATCAACGGCAATTCACGAGGGATCGTATAGTCAGTTCATCCTTTTCTCCCTTGGTCTACAACAATCACCCATTTCAACCAATGGGATCGCTCTTTTTTCCCTATGTCTTCTTTGTTTATCGTTTAGTCTATCGATTTCAATAAGCAGCCCGCTGATCTGCGAAGTTACTCATCTATGTTACCAATGCAACTTGTTCAGGTAGCTTTGTTACTCGCATAGATTCACGCATGCCCACCTATGCGTGTGGTAGAATTAGTGTCATTATGTACATCTCTGGAGACTTAAACGCCGCACGGTGGAGCGAAGCATAGGAATGCCCGGTCATCGCCTTGCGCCCCAACTTGTTTCGACTATTCCACTCGTTCCAATGGCCATTTCGTGATGAAACTTGGGCATCTTATGGTATTTTGATCGTAGAATTCATTTTTGACCTTACTTTACTTGATTTATTGACGGAAACACATAATTTTGGTGGTTCTTTTTAACTTTCAGTAGACACGTGAAAACATAAGTTACTCAAAGATAAATTTCACTCGTTCCTGTGGACATTTCGTGTTGAAACTTCCCTGGCTTGTGGTATTTTGATCGTAGAATTCATTTCTGACCTTACTTTTCTTGATATGTTAACGCAAACGCACGATTTTTGTGGGTTTTCAAACTTTCAGCGGAAACATAAAAAGATAAGTTGCTCAAAGATAAATTTTACTCATTCTTGTCGGAATTTCGTGTTAAAATTTGGTGCAATCATGGTATTTTGAANATCACACGTGTTTTGGCGGATTGGCGTCGGCCATGATGAGTATTGCCGACGATGGAACGACTCCTCTTACAAAATGTTCACCTGTGCCGTAGTATCGCTTTTGAAGCGGGAAGCTCAAAAAACCGCAAATTTCTTACGCAGACTGTGAAGTTATGAGTGCATTTCAGACTTTGCCGATGCGCTCATCGTGATTTTTGAGGCATTATCTATAAGAAACAACTCTTAGTTTTGCTCTAGCAAAAGTTTGCAACAGGCCCATTAGTCTATCATTTTCTCCCTTTGTCTATAGGAACCACCCGTTTCAACCAATAGGATCGCTCCATACTTCCTATGTCTTCTTTGTCTATAGCTTTGTCTATCAATTTCAATAATCAGGCCGCTGGAAAGTATGGAGTTATATGGACCATGGGGCTCACGAAGAAATCGAGATACGCCCTTATACGTTAGAGGAGCGAAGATCTAAGCTAACTAGAACAGTGGCGTGGCGTGCTTTCCGACATATCGATTGATCTGCCAATTTAAACCCATGGAAAAATATCGATAGACAGGGTGTTCGCAACAAACACCTCAACAATCGATTCTTTACTACAGCTTTAAATATCGATAATCGATCACTCACGCCTCGCCACTGGACTAGAACTTGAGCTAAGCGCGAATAATAGTCCAGGCGCCTGGTAGCTAAAAATGAGGCTACCTCGAATTTCGGGTACACAGCGATTTTTGTGGCTTACTTTATGTTATTTGGGTCGCTGAATCTGAATCTGAAGTTTCCTACCGCGTATCTGGTGAGCATTTTTCGCCATTTCGAAAAAATGGCCTAAAAAGGCCTTTTTTGCGGTTTTTTTTTTTACATAGCGGCTACGCATGAGAGAAAGTCCCGGATTTAGTTAATGCTTTGAACAGCTGACAAAATTTGGAAGAAAATGGTGTATACATATGCTACATTTGCTTAAAATTTGAGGAAGATACAGCATCGTGAACATCGCGCCCATTCACGTTTTCGCGGCGCACCCGTCAACGCGCGATCCGGCTCGCCGCGGTCAGCCAAGTTCCGAAGCGTTCCAAAGCTCCGAGATCCGAGGTTCCTCAAATTTTAAGCAAATATAGCTTATGGATACACCATTTTTTTCCAAATTATGTCAGCTATTCAAAGCATTAACTAAATCTGGGACTTTTTCTCATGCGTACCCGCTTTATCAAAAAACCGCAAAAAAAGGGCCTTTTTAGGCCATTTTTTTCAAAATGGCGGAAAATGCTCACCAAATGCGCGGTGGGAAACTTCAGATTCGGATTCAGCGACCCAAAAAACATTATGAAAGCCAAAAAAATCGCTGTGTACCCAAAATTCTAGGTAGACTTACCAGGCGCCTGGACTATTCAGACAATAGACGTAAATGAAACATTCAAATTGAACAATCGCATTGTTATTATCAGTTCGCTAGCAGCACATTCAAATAATATATTTTATTGTATCTTGGGAAAATCATGGCAGATTTTAAAGTGTTCATATTCGTTTACTGGTTCCAAATAGGCAGTGAAAAAGTTGCAACGTCGCAAATTGAGGTATGGATATTTTTTATTTAACCGTCGGTGATGAGAAAATGTGTAACTACGCACGCGTTAGAGTGTAGTATCGGCGGCAATCGTGGTCTTCTGCCATCAAGTCGAGGCGAAACTCTCAAAGGCGCTCTAAGCAACTATATTACCTCGGAAGTATTGCACAGTATCAGACGAAATTGAAGGCGCACTAACGTAGGCAACTTGACTAGTAGCGTTTATCGTACGATATGCGACTTCTCATCGATCAATTTTTTTGAAACTCAATACCACGTGGTATTTTTTGATGGAAACCCTGAATTTCAACTCAGATTTTCATTATTCAAAATTTCAAGATAGTGAATGTGGTCTAAGATGCTATCTCGGCACCTATTTGATTCCTTTTTGTGAGCCTTGGCGGCAATGGATGTTTTTCACATAGAGGTCGAATTTTCATACAAAATTTTAAATTTCAAAATCCCACATGGCGTATGTGGTCCAGAATAGTATCTTGGTGCCTTCGAAATTATCCGACTTTTCGATAGAGGTTTTAAAAATTCCTTTTTAAGTTCAGTTTCAAATCGATGTACTCTCAGCTAACTTATACCTCGACGTCGGCTCGCTCTTCGACCGTTATGAAATGAATCTGTTTGTTTTGTTTGTTTTTTTTAATTAGTCATGTATTTCTTTTTTTATTGCATTTCCAACAGGAGTCGCATATCGTAAGATCTGTAGGACTCTACGGATGCCAGTGAATTTACATACGTTAGTGCGCCTTCAATTCCGTCTGATACTGTGCAATGCTTCCGAGGTGATATAGTTGCTCAGAGCGCCTTCAAGAGTTTCGCCTCGACTTGATGGCGAAAGATCACGATTGCCACTGATATTACACTCTGACGCTTGCGCAGTTACACATTTTCTCATCACCAAAAATGAGATATAAAAACGTCCATACCTCAATTTGCGACGCTGCAACTTTTCCACTGTCTATTTTGAACGAGTAAAAGAACATGAACACTTTACAATCTGCCGTGATTTTTCCGAGATGTGGCAAAATACATTATTTGAATCTGCTGCTAGCGAGCTGATAATAACAGTAATTGTCATTTAATACGTTTCGGGCTCATTTACGTCCAGGTTTATAACATTTCGGGTCTGCTTTTGTTTGTTCGAGGGTTCCTATACCCCGACTTATTTTTCCCCTGTTTAATTAAAGCATAGACTTTTAGTCCAGGCGCCTGGTAGGTAAAAATGAGACTACCTCGAATTTCGGGTAAACAGCGATGTTTTTGGCTTACTTTATGTTTTTTGGGTCGCTGAATCCGAATCTGAAGTTTCCTACCGCGTATCTGGTGAGCATTTTCCGCCATTTTGAAAAAATGGCCTAAAAAGGCCTTTTTTGCGGTTTTTTTTATATAGCGGCTACGCATGAGAGAAATTTCCGGATTTAGTTAATGTTTTGAATAGCTGACATAATTTGGAGGAAAAAAGTGTATACATACGCTACATTTGTTTAAAATTTGAGGAAGATACAGCATCGTGAACATCGCGCCCATTCACGTTTTCGCGGCGCATTGTGATTCTTGCATTGACGTCTTGATGACGCATTCTTTGTGATTTATATTGACTCCTGATTTTAATTTTCAGAAATTCAAAAAAGCACGACAACCAGTCAATATGAAATCTCGCCACTAAACAGAAAGGCTCCTATAATTGGAGGAGAAACTGCACAGAATTGTGTTTGTCACTTAACTTCCTCAATTTTCCTCACATGAAGATTATTTGTTGATAGTTCTGTTGTTTTTAATGTTTAAGATGTTTGTTTTTATACCTCTCAAAAGAATACTTACATAAAAATGTAATAAATTATTGACTTTAAGTTTAACCTAGCTTTTTTAAACCTAATCTGACATTTCATGCGAAAATATTCATAGTTTTTTTAAGGTTTTAGGCTCCTGAATACAAAAATGACCTCATAAGTTTTTCTTCACTATGCAGCGGTTTTTCGGGAAATTCGTTTTTGGGGAGACCCTAGATTTTCCGGATAGTCTTTTCGGAATGGCGAAAAACAGTTGTCATTTCAGGTGCTCCCACAATGGGCTTGCCATACATTCTAGATCAGTTCCAAAATGTGGCCAGGTATGAGTATATCGAGTTTTAATGAGGATCGATTATAGACTGTAGGAACGTAGTCAATGGGTCAGAAGAAGACTTGTTTTTCCGTGTGAAGCATTTTCCAAAAGTACCCCCTGCCCCCTCCCGCCCCCTCCCAGCCGGAGCCACCGCTCTCGAATTTGCTGGATTATCATCGTTTTTTCATATTTTGATGACGGTTATGGACCAAAAATCATGAAAAACAACCATAGCGCCAAATTCATCTATGGTCGCGGATTAAGTATATCCGTATACGGGTAGTTTAAACAAAGTTAAAGGGAAATTCGCAACTCTCAGATCTGAAAGCCGGGAACGACCGTATTTCTGAAGAAAATAGACAGCAAAATGAAAATCAACCATTAATTTGATTGAACTGTTTTTTTCTTGGTGGAAAATTCGTTTTTGCACCGTATTTTGATGAAATAAATTACACTAGTCAAAAAAAAAGAAGGAAAAAAAAAACAACTCGTGATCTGGGTTGAGGGACATTTCGACAACGATTTTTTGTCCGCATACCTAGTTCTTCTGGCAGTTTATGTCCACGCGTTTTTTCGGCAGAGAAGTTTGTGCCATAGTACCTTGGTTCATTTTGCGAGGAAAGCTTCGTACTCTCCAAGAACGCCCATCATTCTTAAAATGTTGGAGCGCCTTCAATTTCGTTTGACACTGTGCAACACCACTGTTGTGAAATAGTTACTTGAGGCGCCGTGGCACGCTGCGGCGCACACTGTGGTATTTGACCGAAAAACCTGGCCAAAACCTCAATTTTAATTTTTTTTTTTTGGAAAACCAATGTGATATTCGAAATCTACACTGTTTTTTACCCCAGTAGCCATGTATGTGCCATTTTTCGAGTGGCTCAATTTCCCGCGAAGAGACCACGAAGTTACCTATTTCTCAGCGATTTTTTTGATGTGTTTTAACGCGCTACTCGTCGATCAGTTTACTTCAACTGTGCGACCATAGGAGGGAAGTTCGGCGATATGCAACACATTCTTAAGGGTATATTCTACACAACTAACCACAGTATTTTCGAAATTTCCTTTTTTAGTGATTTTCACAGGAGGTTGAAAAGTGATGTAAAAGTAAACGTTTTTTTCGAATTTCACAGTCCGATTAAAAATTTCTCTCAACTGTTCTCAAGCGGTTTCAGGCGGAATGTTATAGTCCGAAGTGGGTATTTTCAGGATTCAGGGTCGACAGACTGAGGAAAACTGAGGAATTTGAAATTTTTGACTTCAAACATGGACTTTTGAGCGATTTTCACAAACATGAATGGGAAAAATTATGTCGATANTTTACCCATTTCGTCCCACTGTGCGCCGGGAGTAAGAAAGTAAGCGACGATTTCAAAATTGCGATGATTACTTCAGACTAAAACTGATGACTTTAAGCCAAAAAATGTGTGGCGATTTTTGGAAATTGTTAAGAATGTACAGCTCATAGTGACGTTTCATTAAAATACTTCATGGAGAATGAAATATTTTTACTGTTTGATAATCATTCAAAAGTTCAATTGTTTTCCGAGATTTTTGATGACGATTCCTTCCTAATACAGATACCTACCAATTTTTGATAATTTTGAAGGTGCTAAGAGAGCACTCCAAGCCACTTCTGCCATCTTGGAGTTTTAAAATTCAAAACTTTGACTGAAAATTCGACCTCTGCGTGAAAAACATCCACTGCCACCAAGTCTCACAAAAATAAATCGAACAGGCTCCGAGATAGCATTTTAGGCCGCATCCAGTATAATGGATTTTTAAATTATGAAAATTTGAGTTGGAATTCAAGGTTTCCGTCAAAAAATGCATCCTTGTACCGAGTTTCAAGAAACGTCCTGGAGTGTATTTACGGCGGCAATCGTGATCTACTGCCATCAAGTCGAGGCGAAACTCTTGAAGGCGCTCTGAGCAACTATATCACCTCGGAAGTATTGCACAGTATTCGACGAAATTGAAGGCGCACTAACGTAGGCAAATTGACTGGTAGCGTTTATCGTACGATAAGCGACTCCTGATCGATCAATTTTTTTGAAACTCAATACCACGTGGTATTTTTTGACAGAAAACCTGAATTTCACTCAGATTTTCATTATTCAAAAATTCAAGATAGTGAATGTGGTCAAAGATGCTATCTCGGCACCTGTTTGATTCCTTTTTGTGAGCCTTGGTGGCAATGGATGTTTTTCACATAGAGGTCGAATTTTCATACAACATTTTAAAATTTAAAAATCCCAGATGGCGTATGTGGTCTAGAATACTATCTTGGTGCCTTCGAAATTATCCGACTTTGCGATAGAGGTTTTAAAAATTCCTTTTTAGGTTCAGTTTCAAATCGATGTACTCTCAGCTAACTTATACCTCGATATCGGCTCGCTCTTCAACCGTTATGAAATTAATCTGTTTGTTTTGTTTGTTTTTTTGAATTATTCATGTATTTCTTTTTTTATTCCATTTCCAACAGGAGTCGCATATCGTAAGATCTGTAGGACTCTACGGATGCCAGTGAATTTACATACGTTAGTGCGCCTTCAATTCCGTCTGATACTGTGCAATACTTCCGAGGTGGTATAGTTGCTCAGAGCGCCTTCAAGAGTATCGCCTCGACTTGATGGCGAAAGATCACGGTTGCCACTGATATTACACTCTGACGCTTGCGCAGTTACACATTTTCTCATCACCAAAAGTGAGATAAAAAAACGTCCATACCTCACATTGCGACGTTGCAACTTTTCCACTGTCTATTTTGAACGAGTAAAAGAACATGAACACTTTAAAATCTGCCGTGATTTTTCCGAGATGTGGCAAAATACATTATTTGAATCTGCTGCTAGCGAGCTGATAATAACAGTAATTGCCATTTAATACGTTTCGGTGTCTTATAACCTCTTCGGGCTCATTTCCGTACAGGGTTTTAAAATTTCGAGTCTGCTTTTGTTTGTTCGAGGGTTCCTATACCCCGACTTCTTTTTCCCCTGTTTAATTAAAGCATAGACTTTTAGTCCAGGCGCCTGGTAGGTAAAAATGAGGCTACCTGGAATTTCGGGTACACAGCGATTTTTTGGCTTACCTTATGTTTTTTGGGTCGCTGAATCCGAATCTGAAGTTTCCTACCGCGTATCTGGTGAGCATTTTCCGCCATTTTGAAAAAATGGCCTAAAAAGGCCTTTTTTGCGGTTTTTTTTTATAGCTGCTACGCATGAGAGAAAGTCCCGGATTTAGTTAATGTTTTGAATAGCTGACATAATTTGGAAGAAAATGGTGCATACATATGCTAAATTTGTTTAAAATTTGAGGAAGATACAGCATCGTGAACATCGCGTTCATTCACGTTTTCGCGGCGCACCCGTCAACGCGCGATCCGGCTCGCCGCGGTCAGCCAAGTTCCGAAGCGTTCCAAAGTTCCGAGATCCGAGGTTCCTCAATTTTTGAGCAATCCTAGCATATTTATATACCATTTTCTTCCAAATTTTGTCAGCTGTTCAAAGCATTAACTAAATTCGGGACTTTTTCTCATGCGTAGCCGCTATATTAAAAAAAAACCACAAAAAAGGCCTTTTTAGGCCATTTTTTCAAAATGGCGGAAAATGCTCACCAGATACGCGGTAGGAAACTTCAGATTCGGATTCAGCGACCCAAAAAACATAAAGTAAGCCAAAAAAATCGCTGTGTACCCAAAATTCCAGGTAGACTTACCAGGCGCTTTGACTATATTATGTTACAAAGAACTGCGAGCAGTCGGACTCTAAAATAAGGAAATGATGATGAGTTCATTGAAAAATTTTTTTGAAGGGGGACGTAGCAGCCATAGAAAGTCACCGAATCAAGGGAGGTTTGGCGGAATTCTCCTAACTTCACAGAGGGGCTTGTGGCGAGCATCGTGGCTCACAGGCGGCATTCGCGGGGGTTTGAGGGAAATCTTGAAAAATTTTGTCGACTCAGAGACAATTTTAAGCTGTTATCACTGGGAATTTAATTGAAATACGATGAACGAAAAGTCTGGCCATCGAATACCTGAATATCAACTGCCTGCATATTTTTCAAAAGAATGGTACACTTTCAGACATTCGCACTCCTTTCTCTCATAAAGAGTCTGTTTAAAAATTTTCTGCTGATTCTTTCTGATTCATATAGACTTCTGATTTCAATTTTCAGAAATTCAAAAAAGCACGACAACCAGTCAATATGAAATCTCGCCAGTAAACAGAAAGGCTCCCATATTTGGAGGAGAAACTGCAGAGAATTGTGTTTGTCACTTAACTTCCTCAATTTTCCTCACATGAAGATTATTTGTTGATAGTTATGTTGTTTTTAATGTTTAAGATGTTTGTTTATATACCTCTCAAAAGAATACTTACATAATAATGTAATAAATTATTGACTTTAAGTTTAACCTAGCCTTTTTAAACCTAATCTGAAATTTCATGCGAAAATATTCATAGTTTTTTTAAGGTTTTAGGCTCCTGATTACAAAAATGACCTCATAAGTTTTTCTTCATTATGCAGCGGTTTTTCGGGAAATTCGTTTTTGGGGAGACCCTAGATTTTCCAGATAGTCTTTTCGGAATGGCGAAAAACAGTTGTCATTTCAGGTGCTCCCACAATGGGCTTGCCATACATTCTGGATCAGTTCCAAAATGTGGCCAGGTATGAGTATATCGAGTTTTAATGAGGATCGATTATAGACTGTAGGAACGTAGTCAATGGGTCAGAAGAATACTTGTTTTTCCGTGTGAAGCATTTTCCAAAAGTGCCCCCTGCCCCCTCCCGCCCGCTCCCAGCCGGAGCCACCGCTCTCGAATTTGCTGGATTATCATCGTTTTTTCATATTTTGATGACGATTATGGACCAAAAATCATGAAAAACAACCATAGCGCCAAATTCATCCATGGTCGCGGATTAAGTATATCCGTATGTGGGTGGTTTAAACAAAGTCAAAGGGAAATTCGCAACTCCCAGATCTGAAAGCCGGGAATGACCGTATTTCTGAAGAAAATAGACAGCAAAATGAAAATCAACCATTAATTTGATTGAACTGTTTTTTCCTTGGTGGAAAATTCGTTTTTGCGCCGTATTTTGAAGAAATAAATTACACTAGTCAAAAAAAAGAAAGAAAAAAAACGACTTGTGATCTGGGTTGCAGGACATTTCGACAACGATTTTTTGTCCGCATACCTGGTTCTTCTAGTAGTTTATGTCCACGCGTTTTTTCGGCAGGGAAGTTTGTGCCATAGTACCTTGGTTCATTTTGCGAGGAAAGCTTCGTACTCTCCAAGGACGCCTATCATTTTTAAAATGTTGGAGCGCCTTCAATTTCGTTTGACACTGTGCAACACCACTGTTGTGAGATAGTTGCTTGAGGCGCCGTGGCACGCTGCGGCGCGGCGGGCGGCGGGCCATCTCCCAACGCGCAATGGCGCCTACAAACCTAAGGGGATACTTCAAGCATTGCGCAATGCGTAAAGTATCCCCTTAGGTTTGTAGGCGTTAGTGGGCGTTTTGCGCCGGTAGCACGCCGCCGCTCCGCTCTGTGTTATGGCTCGTAATATTTAAAATCGCGGAGTCGGTGTTTTTCAGTTCATGATTTTGAAATTTTTGCACACTCTGCATGGATTTTCCTCATTTAAATTGATGGAAAAAAAATTGTATTTGAGGAAAATTTAAAATGTGTTTTGTACATATTACGGTGGTTCTGTGTCAAATTTAATGATTCCCAAAGCACTTTAATGTTTTCTTTTATATTTTGTACTTTTACGGTGTTTCAGCGAGGTGTCCGCGCAACCAAACGCTCGAAATCGGACGTATTTAACTCTAAAAGATCTATGTACATAGTCATACAGGTTAAAACTAATGATTGCGTGCTTCTTGGTTTTTCTTCCATTTTTATTAATTTTTGTATAGTTTCTTTCAACACTTTTATTTTCCGCGTAGGCGTAAACTACTGGGCAAAACAGGTGCGCGGACAAAAAATCGTTGACGGAATGTCCTGAAACCGTGACCGGTGCTCTTCACAAAGTCTCAGGTCCGGGTCCAACATCATGGAAGAATGCAATAGTGTATTTTCTTCGGATAATACACTAAAAACACTATGAACCGGAATATGATGGCTGAATCTCATGTAATATTCAGCATTGAGTCCGTAAATGACCTCAGTTTTTCTCAATACGAGGTGTGGTCAAAAAGTTCCCGGGCTGGTGCCGCCCTGGGCTGAAAAATGGTCCAAACGAGCTAAACTTAGGCTCGTTTGAAAGCTTACTCTCACGAGTACACTCCTTTTTAATTTTTGAAAAAATATTTATTAGTTTTCGCACAGCGTCAACTTTACGGAGACGTGTTTGCGCCGTGCGGCGATTTTGTCTGCGAACAAGAAATGACCAACATCCACTTCCAATTGGACGTATTTCTATCAAACAGACCTATGTGGAGGTGAGAAATATGGGGTATGCTCGTTAGTTCTCTGGCCGTAAGAGTGAATGAGAATATTAAAGCGCCAGTGACGTCAGCGGCAATGAAAAAGCCTCCCGGCGCAACGTCGTCGTCGTCGTCGTCGTCGTCGGGGGGCATTAACTCATGAGCCCTGTTCACAACGCTCTCTTGCCATGCCTGCGGCTCATGAATCCCGCATTCAGTTGGCACATAGGTCTGTTTGATAGAATGTAATATCCCGCTTTTCCAATTCTTCAAAAGGAATCACGCCCACTTTTACATNGGTTAATATTGCTCAAAAAAATCGGGGAAAATTCCTGTGAACTCTGTGCACTCTCTAGTTTCCAAAAATGCAAGAATTACGAATTGCTGAACAAGCTCATTTTGAGGTGGCTGATAAGACAGGTGCATCCAGCGATCACGCTGATATGAGTCTATCCTACCTCTGGTGTACTTGCACAAGATAAACCACTATTGTTTACCTGAAATGTGTCACTTGGAACGCATCAAGATGCAATTTTTCGAGGCCTTTTCTCTGAACGGCCAAATTTTTCGAAAAATCAAGATTTTCCTTAGAAAAGATATTTTTCGAAGAAAATGCAGTTTTCCGGGAGATTAGTGCATGATAGCGGTAAACCAAACGCCATTTCTTATGTCAGCACTTCAGGATACATGAGTGAACGTGTGTTATGCGTGTAAATGATTCATCTCACTGCGGCTGATAATCTTTTTGGCATCCAAAAAAACATGCGTTTTTAGAAATTTATCGTGCGATAGATAGGAAAAACCAATGATCTTTTTAGATTCCAGCAACGGAAATGAAAAGGATATAGACTAGGCTAATTCGACATCCGAATACAATAATTTTCTCTTCATTTCAGTCGCCACGTCGGCTATCGCCAAAAACTGTGCAATTTACTTCTTTACAAGAGAATGCATGCACGGATTCCTTTAAGAATTTTGAGAAATTTGCTTCGAACCATGCAGAAAACCCATTGAAATTTGCACAAAAATTCGCACGACCGTTTTCAAGTAATAAATTAAGTTACCCAATTAAAGTAGGCGATGGCTGATGTGGCTTGGTACGCGGTCCAAATGAGGGTATCGGTTTATGGATGAAAAGTTTGAAAATAAATTTTGAACTGTATCAAAGCTGATATAGATATTCTGTCATTTTTTGCTTTATTATTTTCCTCTTCGATACAATCACAGAACCAGAATTTTACGTTAATCCACTGTAGAAATCAGGTTTGCTCTGTTGGGATTTCGCACGCCTTGTCGAAGTTGTCGATAACGACATGCTGCAGTGCCGATGAGAAAATATCAAGATCGCACATAGCATCAGTTTCCTTGCCCCGACTGCAGCCCTCAGTTTTCAGCACTATCAAGTCGTCATCGAGGTGACTTCTTTTGAAAAGTATCTGAAATGAGATAAAATACGTTTAAGTTACGTGACTGAGCAGCGGAGGATAGGGTAAGCAATTGGATAAAAATAAGATAAGTATAGTCAGCAAGAGACGAGTGCAAAATCATTAATATTATAATTCGTATATTAGCTTTCTCGTGTAGCTCCAGGGTGGGAATCATTTAATTGTTTTTCCCCCTCTGCTTTCAATATTCACTCATGAACGAGGAGTTCAATTCTTAGGAAAATTCTCAATATGCTTGAATAAGGCATTAAATGTACTCTTGGCTTGTTAGGTGGTCAACAACAATCACTTTTTTTACGTAATTTTTTTTTTAAATGACCGGGAGAGGATAATTTGATTTTATGGCTGCTCCTCAACTGACAATTATCTGCAAATCTCGGCCTCCTATGGTGTAGTAGTTGTGGCGCTAGCTCTATGATCGGGAGGTCCCGAGTTCGATTCCCGGCCAGGCGACCCGAATTTGATTTTCTCAAACAACGATTGCCTAGGACTGGATGATCAGTAGGGACGGAGGGATTCAGGGCTAAAGCGCAGGATTATCACCTGTGGGATATTTGAAGTAGTGCAAAAAAGAAGAAAAAAATGTGCAAATTATTGATGCATTATAGTAAGCCACGTGTGATGTGACAGTAGGTATCCCGTGTGATCTTATATTGATTCAGACCTATCACTTTTTTATACATGGCTTTTTCCATGCAAAGTATACCATGACCAATAGGGCCCCTTTCCATTTTCCTTCATTCCTCTTCAGTATTGAAAAAAAATTATCCTGAACGTTGAGTAGCCCTGCGATTTTGTGAAGAAATTTGCAAGGTCTAGATTTTTAAACACATTCTCCTTGGATTAATAAACAATTTAAATAGTTTTTAAAATATAAACTTGGAAAAGTTCTTGATCGGTGCCCCCGCTTCTTCCATGCACGATTATTAGCAAATCTGCATTGAAAATGCTTTTTTCTTGAGATATTATCTTCACTTAAAGCGTCGTTTCTCGTCGACGAAATTTAGTTTTATTTTTAGTCAAATCCGTGCGGGATTTAACTTGAAGTAAGTTTTTTTTTAAATTAAGAAACGCTGTTTTTTTATCGTTTTTCCAACTTAAACTTAACGATATCAAAACGACGTCTTTTCAACTAAAAACAACTGATGTTCAGATGCATCCGCACGGAATTAACTAGATAAAAAAAAATTTAAAAAAAAAAAAAACCTTTGTCGACAAGAAACAACGCTTCAAGTCAAAATAATAGCCCCAGAGTATTCTTTTTCAGTGTGATAATGAATACCATAATATGGAAAAAGACTAACAGCAAATCCCATTGTCTAACTGACGTCTCAACATTTTGAAACAAAATTAAAATAGGACTTACTTTCACTCGATATTTCCCATTGATCTCGTGGAGCTCAATCATGACCGCTGCTCCATAGGAAGGGAATAAGCTCTCTATGTCTGAGGTAACGTTTAGACCTCGCCAGATATTACCAATGGTACTATCGTGTGCAGAGTATAAATTCATCTGACGCTCAAATTTTTCCCTTGTGTTTGCTTTAGATTTCATATTCCTTAAGATCTCATTTATGAGGACACCTGCAAAAGCAACAAAAAGAAGCACCTTCATGAGTGAAACAATTAAAAAACTTACTAACCGAAAAGATCTTAACGGACCCTGAAATATGAAGTCATCCAATTTTTAAGATTTCGGAATTAATTTCGGTGATTTGCATTTAGCATTCTTAAAACAAATAATTAACTCTCAATATACGAGGGTCATCCAAAAAGTAAAGCTCCCTACCTTGTATCTTCCGAGCGAAAAGAGATAAATCAAATCGGTAAAAAAGCACATATTAGGCATACTCTAAGCTTTAAAACAAGCTCAAGTTTTTGAAAATCGGTCAAAGGATTCGCGAGTAAACTTAATTTTACTGAGACAACCTCCTGTCGCCGCGTGCCCACCTCCGGGGTCAGGATGCACGGAGAGTCGATTGTTGAAGACTTCGGTAATCGCCCTATACATCACATCAACAAGGAATTTTAAAGTTTTCATTAAGCAGGCCTTATACCTTACTTTTTGACGTAGTCTCCTTATCTTTTTTGACATTTCTGGCATCATTACAGCAGCTTCTTGATGCCCTTCGTCTAACAGCTTTCGCCTTGACTCCGAAACCAGTCATTGACAGCGATCTGCACTTCCAAATCAGTTGCTTTGCGTAGGGAAATTTTCCCCCGATCCTTCAAACTCTCTTACTTTAGCTTCATGTGACTTTCATATGTTCCCGAACGGAAAAACTTTCACGATGGAAGCGATTTTCAACCGGGTCAGAGGTACACATAGCTGTCAATGACTGGTTTCGGAGTCAAGGCGAAAGCTTCTAGACGAAGGGCATCAAGAAGCTGCTGTAATGATGCCAGAAATGTCAAAAAAGATGTGGAGACTACGTCAAAAAGAAAGGTAAGGCCTACTCAATGAAAACTTTAAAATTCCTTGTTGATGTGATGTATAGAGGCGATAACCCGAGTCTTCAATAATCGACTCTCCGCGCATCCTGACCCCGGAGGTGGGCACGCGGCGACAGGAGGTCGTCTCAGTAAAATTAAGTTTACTCGCGAATCCTTTGACCGATTTTCAAAAACGTGAGCTCTTTTTTAAGCTTAGAGTATGCCTAATATGTGCTTTTTTACCGATTTGATTTATCTTGTTTCGCTCGGAAGATACAATGTAGGGAACCTTACTTTTTGGATGACCCTCGTAGGTTGCCAGGAAGATAATATTGAAACGATAGGTCTGTTGCATGCAAGAGATAGAACCAACTGTATACTCTTTCTAAGTGTAAATTCCCTCAAAAATCACGTTGGGAACTTCAAAAAATTTTAAATCTACTCCTTAGCGTGCAATCTGCGTAGTTTATAACACGCTTTTTAAATGTACCGCACGTGCGGACAGTTTTTCTTGGTGATCGGCTGTCAGGTTTCCTCCGAAAGAGACCTAGCCTTATTAAACAACCTCGGGAACTGTTATAAACGCTCCTTGCGCAAGATTTAAATCGATTCCAAGCTTTGGCTTTTGAAAAATAATGAGAGATAAATTAAAAAAATTCTTAAAAACTATGGAAATCATACAATAGAAAATGTTAGTGAAATCGTTTGTTTATTCATGGTTAGTTTTCTCTTCTCTTACACCTCCGCCTTTTCAAACCTGGTCTGCGCTAACTGAAAAAACTGCCCGCAGACGCGGGAACTCGGAAAAGCGTTTTGCGTACTACGCACATTCCGAGCGAAGGAGTGAATTTCAGACTTTTTTGACGTGCTCAACTTGACTTTTGTGGGATTTTAGAATCTCGTCAAGAGAACACTTATTTGGCAGTAGCCCTTGCGTGCAACAAACTCATTTAGTTTGCTGAACTATGGCAAATTGTTATGAGCGAGAAAAATTGCTCGATAGGTGCATGGTTTTTAGTACAGCTAAAATTGGACGTTTTTCTGCCGAACGGAACTATATGCATTAAGACATGAGCCCCGAAACACATAAAGATAGGTGCATAACAGGGCTTACAATATAATGCACATGGTTCCGTTTGATAGAAATACGTCCAATTAACCGAGTTACGAGTGGCGACTTTCCATTTTCATTGGTCACACACTGCTTTTTTTATTAGTTTAAGTAGTTGTTACTTACAAAAATAAAAATAAAATAAAAAAATAAAAATCTGAAATGAGGAATTTAAAGCCAGGAACAATACATGTTGAGGCGCTCAGCCACTGCTATACCTTCCCTAAAGTGTATAACTATAAGATAAAGGAGCCATAGCCCACTATTATTTATGCCGCAATCAGACGCTGGATTTAGCAGCTGAATGTGGAAGTCAACAGTCATCGCCCAACGGCTGAAATTTAGCAAATTCGAGTTATTTTCATCCAGATGTGTATTAAATCTACTCGAATAGTTCAGACAAATTCAAAATTGGTCCGATGGTTGCTGAGAATCGTTGCTGAATTTTGCGCGTCACGCGCAAAATTCAGGCATCGGGCCGATGACTTCCACATTCAAGCCACATTCAGCTCCCACATTCAGCGTGTGATTGCGGTGTTAGACAAAATGACGAAATAAACTACTACTATGTCATGTATGCTGTACTGCCGTGTAAGGAAAGAACACCGTATGAACATTAGAGAGTTGACGAATTTCCCTTGATAAAATGTTTATTTTTGAGGAAAATTATGAACATTTCTCCTTGAAATTTTCAGGAACTTAAGATGAAATTGTGAATAAAATTATCTGAAAAATTGGTAGGAAAATATTCAAACATTTTACTAGGAAATTCGCGTTTTATCAAAGGAAATTTGGCAACGCCTGAAGGTTCATACGACGTTTTGCCTTAGAGCAGCAGTATAGCTAGCTGATGTATGTGTCAACAATATTTGGCTACCTGATTTGAGTTTGTTCATGGCGGGTGTTGCAAAGTGTTTAAAAACTCCGATATTGCCGAGTGATCGGAGTCTTTCCCGATCAATAGTGTGAGCCCACTGAGGCAACGGAAGTCCTTCCTCCTCCTGTGAAAATTAAAAACTCGTACACGAATAATTTATGAATACATCTAAGTTTCCTTTTGCGTTAAATTCTTTACTTTCGGCACAGGATGGATCAAAAACAAGGTGTTGATTTTTCATTTCAGTTACGAAAGAAATTCTGGTGAAAAAATAACCTTTGATAAATCTTTATTGTTTTTTTTTTTTTTGGCGCGTATACGTAGTATACCGCCTTTGCGATCGTTTCGAACCCTACTCGATACAATAACCGAGTCCCTTAGTTCCTTACCGAAAAGTGACTACCGCGAACTTCTGAGATTTTCCAAAGCGTGTAAAAAGTTTACTAATCCGTCAATAATAATGATTAAAATTTGTTTCTCATTCTGGGGCTCGCTAGTTTATGTGTAATGAATACCAAGAGTCTACGTTTCTTGGTTTTTTTTAAAAAAACCTTAGAATGGGGCGCGCTGATTTAAAATATGCATATATAAGCGGAAGCAAGCGAACTGATTCGAGGATGGCTGACCAGTTCGGCACTCCTTGAATGAGAATTTCACTCACTCCGTTTTGTTCACAACGTTGCTTTGACATATCTCCACAACACTGTTATCCTTTTCAAAAGTTGGTACTCCTTGCTCTGATAGCCGGGGCCACCAGGATAGTGGTAAGTGCAATCTGTGATGAGCCTCGAGACTCATTAGACCATTTGCTAAACGTGGCTCATACAGGAGTCCACTAAGCCCTCTCGTCCCCACGCTCCTGATCACTGCGTCGGCGTCACGAAGAACAATGGGCCTTGGGTCCCAACGCGGCCGATACCCGTACCCCAATTACTCACGCTTCATTAACCATTTCACCGTCACGCTAGGATTCATCCAATTTTCAAAAAAAATTGTTTCGCATGTATTTAGCAATTTTTTCCTTACTCTCCGTTAAAACACAAATAAAAAGAGACCTCATTCATAAAAATCGGCCGAATAGAAGAGAAGTTACAGTAATCGAAATCCGAAGAAATCAACAAAACCTCGACTCCTCGATACGAAAAATAAAATGAAGGGGAAAAAAAGAAAGTATAAATTACAATTAAATATAATTGACCTCAAAATTTGACAAACAATTCATTTATATACCTAACGCTGAAAAAACTGGGAGAAATTACAAAAAATTTGCCTCTTGCAAGGGGCTTCTTTGTAAGAATTTTGACCTGAAGACAACGGTCGAATAACAGCAGTACNTTGAAATCTCTGTAAATGAAAACTAAAGGGGTTGATATGTGCGAGTTAATGACGCGCCTTATCAACACATTGTGTTGGAGTTCACTGCTTGTTTTTTTTTTTTTTTTTCCATTCAAAGATTGCATGCCTATTCTGTCGTGCTACGGGAGAACGCCGTAGGAACATTCGAGAGTTACCAAATTTCCTTTGATAAAATGTTCATTTTTGAGGAAAGTAATGAATATTTTTCCTTCAAATTTTCAGAATCATCAGGTAAAATTGTGAACCAAATTATCTGAAAAATTGGGAGAGAAATATTCATAAATTTACCAGGAAATTCGCGATTTATGAAAGGAAATTTGGCAACGCCTGAAGGTTCATACGACGTTTTCCCTTAGCACGGCAGTATTTTCAGAATACGTTTTAAACGCCATTGGAAAATTCGTTCTACGTACCACGACCCTCAAATTGTCATCTATGAAGTAGACATCCAAGATTGTTCTCATTTCAAGGCCAGTGCCCTTTGAAATGTTTGCAAGAAGTTCTTGGTTCTCGACCAGTTTCAGTTTGGTGACGTTTTGCCAGTCGGCTTCCTCTTTCGACAAGAGGGGACAGTGTTTAGATACACGAATTATCTGTAGAGGAAAATGAAAAACTCACTGTAAAATCACGGAATACTTGTGGTCTACCTGACAGAGAGGATTTAAGGTGATTCGACAGTTGCCATTTTTTGTGTCAGAGTGACGTGCGATATATCGCATCAATTCGTTCCATAATTTCAGCTACTTGTCATTTTTTCAAATTTTGAGATGACATTTCTGTTATCGTGAAACTAAAGAATTAATGTATCAAATTTGACAAAGAAACTCAACGTATTAAAGGTAGGGTATTTTTAGAGGAATAATATCGTATTCGAGTGCAGTTTCGGTATCAGTATCGAATGCGGTATTTCCCCCCTAAAAAAAACCCTGCCTTTTTTTCGTTGAATTTCTTTGTCAAATTTGGTACATTAATGTTTTAGTCTCATGACAACAGAGGTGTGATCTAAAAATTCGAAAAAAGTGACGAGTAGCTAAAATTATGAAACAAATTGATGCGATGTACCGCACGTCGCTCTGACACAAAAAATGGCAACCGTCGAATCACCTCAAGTTAAACTTTTTGTCGTATCTTTGAAAATAGCACACATATCGACAATGAAACTGCAAAAACGCGTACCTCGATTGCAGTGTTTCAAAATTTCCGCTCAATTTTTTTTTTTTTTCATTTAAGGAGACCGCTCATAAATTATGTCTTGAAATTTTCACAGAATATTCTTCACACAGAGGAAAAAAATACTGGAGTTTTCAAGAGATGACGTTGAGTAGTTTTCAATGTAGAAAATAAAATATGACAGGAAGTTGCAACGCCGCAAACCAAGATATACATTCCTACAGTTTCGCCATCAAAATATATCTGTGTACTTTTGAAAGGAGTTTTAAATTATTTGTTTTTGTTTAATACAATTACAGCAAAAATTATTCTTCAATCACGAAGAAAAACACCTCCTAAAAATCTCACAAATAGTAGACTAATATACGGGCAGCAATTATTATTAATGGAAAATTATGTATCCATAAGTCTTTTTTATTCTGTCAGAATTTCGGTATATTCAGTGCTTCACAGGCCGTGCTAAGTACGGGATTAAATCGTCATAAATACTCGGATACTTGCCGTTAATCAGTCCCGTGGAAAAGGAATGAATGCAAGCCAGTCCTACAGAATTCTTACCGTATTGTAGGCGCTAATGTGAGTTTGACGCCAATTGACCGACTGCACTGCGTTTGGCGCAATGCGAGAAGTATTCATGCAGTCTTGTAGGCGCTCATATGGGCTTGACGCCGACCGCGCTGTTTGGCGCAATGCGTGAAGTATTTCGAAAGTCTTGCAGGCGCTAATATACGTTTAACGCCGTAACGTACGTTTTAAATATGTGTTTAATGTTTCGAAATTACATGGATCCTAATGACGGAAAAAAAGTTCAAACTTACTTTTTGATGCTTAAAAATTATAATTTGGGAGCGATTTTTTCTCAGCACGAGCATCAAGACTGGTTGAACATAAAATCAGTAATATGTCAATAAAAAAAAAAAAAAAACAAACAAATACACTAATGCGACTTGTCCTTCAGGCCCCTGAACCACTCTTAATGCATATTCTGTGAAAAATTAGCTCCAAAATTCCAAATTTTAAGCATACACAGCTTAGTTTGAACTTTATTTTCACCGTAAGATTCCATGTAATGTGATTTCCATGTTCAGAAACGTATTTCTCGAAATATGAAGAACTGCACTTATGCGCCTTATCCTCCAAGCCTCTCAATTGACATATTTTTTTGGTGAAGTTATTTTGTCGTATAATAGCATGAAGAAAAATTACGTCTAAGCTATGTATCTATTACACTGAGTGATATTTGTATTAAATCGCTTTAACTTACATCATCGTATTGTAAAGGAACAGTATGAACAGGAATCGGCTGCCATTTCAAATCTGGGTTCCAAAGTTGAAGCCCAACGGGCGGATAGAGCCCCGCTAAGACGAGGCTTGCGCTCATCAAACATCGATCATAAAAACTCGAAAAGACGAAAATCTGAGATGGTGAGTACTTGGCAGACAGAAATCCATCGTAACGTTGCCGTAAGAAGTTACCCAACCTGTGCAATCCGATTTTCCCCCGCTAAAACACACATCGAAAAACAGCTATCGAGACGAATGATTGCTAAGACGAATTCTATGGGATTTGGTGAGTAATTTGAACAAAAACAGGTGCTAGGATCGAAGGCGTCAAAAAGAGAACATGGTCTTCGAAATCATTACTTTCTTGAAGAAAATTTTTCATAAAAGCCGCTCTTGATCTTTGGTGCTCTGCGACTTCTAGACGCCAAAGTCCCCCTTCCTCCCGAAGCCCTTCAGGGTGTTGGCACTCCCTCATTTCAACAAAAATCCTCAGTCGCCACCCTTTCACTGGGATGAATACTTGTTGAAGAAAATAACACTTTCTTGAAGGAACACTTTCAGATTCTAAAATAACAATCAAATTTTTTTTTTTTTTTTTTTTTTTTTTTTTTTTTTTTTAAATGAAATCAATTTGAAATATCAATACTCTCAGAATAATTTTAATTTGTTTTCATTTGTACAAACCCAAGATGGTTTAAATTGTTCACCGGGCAGAACATGATTCTCATGTGGACGTAGTTCCGCTAAACGGGACCACAGACAGGTTGGAAAGGAGAGGTGTGCTCAGTAGTCGAGGGCCGTAAGAATGAATGGGAATTGTAAAGCGCCAGTGACGTCAGCGCAGCGGCGACGCGACAACGGGGATGCTTACAGTCAGGGAAAATTTAACTCATGAGCCCTGTCCACAATGCTCTTTTGCCGAGCCCAAGGCTCATGAGTGTCGCATATACTATTGGCTTTTAGTTCCGTGGGCGTAGAATGTAAAATTCCGTTTTCCCAACTCTAAAAGTAACATGCCTCTAAAATATAATATGAGGGAGCTATTTCCACATAAGTCACGTAATTAAAATTTTAAAAAAATAAATAAATAAATAAATTACTAACTCATTTGGGACGAATTTATTTGGCGGGAAACGTGTTTCGAGCTACGGCTCATCATCGGTGCGACGCATCGCATCGGGTCGCACCGATGATCTGCCGTAAGGAAGAGCGCCGTATGAACATTTGGGAGTTGCCAAATTTCCCCAAATAAAACACGCATTTTTGAAGAAAGTCATACGTATCTTTTCTTGAAATGTTCAGATATTTCAGATTAAGTTGCGAACAAAATTGTCCAAAAAATTTGAAAAAAAATATTCACAATTTTCCAGTAAATTCGGTTTTTCTTTGGAGGAATTCTGCAACGTTCGAGGGTTCATACGGCGTTTTTCCTTAGCACGGCAGTGATGAGCCGTTGCTCAAAACGCGTCTACCGGCGAAGGAATTTGTTGCAAATGAGTTAATAATTTTTTTTTTTTTTCTTCTTGAATTGTAATCACATGTCTCTCCCATGCCTCCAACTCGTCTGTACTTCCGTTCAACAGAAATACGTCCAATTCATGTCATTAATGTTCATATTAATCTTGGTTACCTGTGATAAAGCTCCGAGTCCATCCGGCCAAAACGATTTGTCTTTGTACGGATCAAGAGGATATGAACGGTCAGGGGCTCTGTCACCATGTCGATGAACCTAGATATATCAAATGAGTGACATTCAGCGAAAATAAGCCAAATTATTCGGGACAAATTTTAAGCTAATCCAAGGTATCACTATGAGAACAGTACACACAATTACAGAGCCTGACTTTTAGTTCATATCAGTAGCGTAGCGTGATAACGATCGATTATCGATATTCCCCGTTTGAAGTTTTTGTAAAGAATCGATTATTGGAGTGTTCGTTGAACACCTTGTTTATCGATCCTTTTCTATTGGTTTAAATGGTAGATCAATCGATAAATCGCAAAGCACGCCACGCCACTGATTCACATCTTATCATTTGAACACTAAAGGAATGTAACCAATGCAACACCCGAGAATTTGCTTTTACGTATTTTGTCTTTTGAAAGGAAAATCTGGTGGCTTTTCAAAAGCATAATGGAGCCACCGTAAGCAGCATGGTTGGCTCCACCGTAACGTATTTCAAAAGGATATTTGGCTTGCGCATCGATATGCAGGTGCGTTACGGGGAGCCCGGAGGAAATGCCCAAAAAACATTTTTCAACAAAAAAATCGCGATGATTTGAAATTAAGTTGCGATTTTTATTTTCAATTTTTTGGCGATAAAATCGCTGGGATCATCAGCATTTGAGCGATTATTCTCAGTCTTATCGTAGTTTTATCTCTATAAAATCGCGTTTGATAGAATCAACATTTTATCTCCATTTATCACGATTTTACGTTCGATAATATTGCAATTCGTCGCTTGACTGACATAAGGGCGTAACTACTTATTAAGATGAGCCCGGAAAACATTGAAATGTATGGAAGACAGGGTTCATTGCAGAGTTTAGTTATGCCCTTTTGTCAGGTAGGCGACGAATAAATCGACGTCGATAAAATCGCGATGCGTTCTCCGATCAAATCAAAACTGATTTCGATTGCAGCTACCTGGGGAAAAGCGTTGCTCTTACAATGCCCATTTTGGATTCAATTTCTGCCCTATTTTCTACAACTGAAATCCAAAAAAACTGTATTACTGCTGGGAATCAAGCATACTCACTATGCTAACGAAACGTAACGTTGCTTCAGCGGGAGATCCAGCCCTGAAAACGTAGAATCCAACGCTAGCAGTAATAACGGAGATCACCAGGATCATCACTAGAAACATGTTCCATCTTTTCGGTTTGTAGCACTGCATGATGCTGTCCTTATTCCAATTATTTTTTTCAAAAGTAAGTAATGATATAAGACGAGTTTAGTTCATTTTTTAATGCAATAGAGCGCACAGTATTATTTAAGTGGCAGAGATCAAAGTTCACAATTGATGTTTTCGAATGTTAAATTTTTCCCCTCTGTATTGCTTTATTTTCTTGAACAGCACGTAAAGTCAATTTGTTACAGTCAAAAAACGGTAGCTATGTTGTATTATAATATTAAAATATTTTTAACTTTATTATTTTAAATAATTAGCAGGCTGTATTCTAAAAAGTATTATTTTATAATCACTGGGGAGGAAATGAACATTTATGCCAGCATAGGAACGAATACGTATTTAATATTGACCATAACCGAGAAATAAATGTTTGTGTAACTGTTTCCTGTCAAAGTTGTTCCTTTAGTTTAATGAAAGAAGTAAAGAGGAAAAAGGCGTAACAATTTGCTTTTTCGCAGGTGTACCTAATGCACTGACAGTTTCGAGTGTAAGAATTCTACTGAAAATATCAACCTTCAATTGTTCATTCTTTGAGCACTGATTATTACAGTTCAAACCGACACGGAGAGTAAATTCTGTAAGTATGACTGTCAAATTGTGATGTGGATGGCTTGATGGTTAAATATATACATTTTTTGATAAGATGAGCCATACTTGTGCTGAAGTATTCAGACGAGAGTGTTTAGCGGTGATTGATGCACGACACTTAAAATGACTGTCTCGGTTTTTTTGATCTTTTTATTGATGAATTTTGACTACAAAGGGGTACTATCTTTTCAGTATCCTCAAAATAGATTAAACATCTTCCATGGAGTCGCGCGTACCTTGCGTTTACTCTTTAAAGCTTAAGAGAGGACATTTAAGACGTATGCTCGATCATTAGTTTTGAGATGCTGATTTTTTGGCACAGGTTTTGATTCCCGAAAAATATACGAAAGATATTGTTAAAAAATTTGAAATGGAGAAAACTGATTTTGAGGGTTACTTGCTTTCTTCAAATTAACTCTGCGATGAAAAGAACCTGGATTGTATCATCAAATCATTAGTCTGTTGTACAATTGAAAAAGCCTTCTTTGCACTGAATATATTTATTTCTCGGTAAGGTCTCTTGATCCACTCACGGCGTACTAAAAAAAGAGATAAAAAACGGAGACCCTCTAATAACTTAATCCTGCAAGTCCTCGACGTTCACGTGGAAGTGCGGATATATAAGTTCAATGTCACATGCTAAAATTTTGTCACAAAAAATGTGATTATACTTACCAAGAGAGATTGATTTTTAATTTTGAGATAAATTATATTGCCGAGTACTTTGCGAAGGTATATAACGACAAAGATATGCTAAATTTGAGCGCATGCGAAACATTTGCTTCACCAGCGGTTAAAGTATTTTCAAATAAAAAAAATAATGTCACATTTTTTGGTGGCATGGCTTAAAAGTTTATATAGCATTCTGTATGACAAGTGCATTCAATCTCCCACACGACAAAATTCGCGCTTTTGTGATCTTTTCTCAACCTCCAAAGCAATATTCGAATTCCCCATAGAGTGACATAAATGATTGGCATATATTAGGAATTTTTCTACAAAAACTTAATCGTTCTTTTAATGTGGTCTGCATTGAGCAAGAATGAGCCACGATTTCTGACTGAAGCATATAGGCACCTATATCTGCATAGGAAAACTACAAGCACATGAGATGTTTCTAAAATGAATCAGATATTGCTCATTTCAAAAACCAGTCCATATGAAATTCTCTCAAGCATGCATCATTTTTAGATTATCAAGGAAACCAGTGTCAAGTCCGATTTCGCACGAGATCAATTTCAATTGTTTTAAAGTAAATTAAGACTATAAATGTAAACTTTCAATTGAATTTTAAAACATAGTAAGTCAATGAGCAATAAGTCACTTAAGTGTTCTATCATTCTCCCTGAATTATTTTCGCACCTAAATTGATATCTATCGTAAACAAAATTAGATGAATTTGAAACTTTAAATTAACCTGTCATAACATAAGAAGGAGAAAAAAAGAAGAGGGAAAGAAAATTAGTTAAGCTCTCAAGTGCTATAAAATGAGCCATACTCATATCTGAAGTATGTCAGAACGAGAGTTTGGGTCTACTCTACGTCACGAAGACGTTTTAAGAGGGAGAGGCAAGAAAATATGCTTTAAGCACGTAACATTTGAACCATCCTCAACGCATACAGGTTTTGTATAGAGTACTCGTTAGAGTACCTGTATAGGGAGAGTAGCGACAGATCTGAAACTCCGAAAGTCCATCAGGCCTTCACCGATGCCTCCGCGAATAAAGTTAGGGCCCAAAAGGGCAGCCAACCTATGAATTTCGAATGTCCAGAGCGATTTACAAACACAATTGTTACGAACCGTCGTTTAGAAAGCATGTATTTGGTTCACTTTTTGCGTAAATTTACTTATTTTTGCGAAAGAACGCTCATTTATGTACATTCTTAGCCATCTTGGTTAGAATTGAAATCTGTGGGCTGGCAGTGAAATTTTGTGTGTTAGAAGTTGCTCAAAAGGGTGGCTGCACTTTTGGGCCCTAAGCCCTCCATGAACCGATCTGTCGCTACTCTCCCTATACAGGTACTCTAGTACTCGTATGAAATTAAACAGTACATTGTATAAAAACTAATGTTTATTTTCTGTGATTTTTATGTCTTATTCATTTCCGATCACAAAATGAAAGAATGAAGGTAGAGAGTCAAATTTGCTCATTTGGGACTTCACAGGCCTCGTCAAAGTTTTCAATGACGACAGGTCGTAATGCTGATGAGAAAATACGGAGATCGCACATTGCGTCAGTTTCCTTGCCCTGACTGTCCTTGCAGCCCTCGATTTTCAGCTCTATCAAGTCGTCATCGAGGTGACTTCTTTTGTAAAGTATCTAAGATGAGAAACAGTAAAGTTGACGTGAAAAAAATGGAAAATAGCTTTTATGATTATATTGATCCCTTCAAAAATAAGTTAATACAAGATCACGAATAATAATAAATCGCATTTTTGGCTTCTCACCTATTCCGAAATATTAGGATCAATTTCATTGTTTTTATCTTTACATTCTCTTATATTCATCCATTAATGAAGAGCTCATTTTTAAGGGAAAATGCGTAATGTTTAGATATTGCATCAAGTGTACTCTCAGCTTGACGAGTGGTCAACAGCAACCGCTTGTTGAAATACTTATTTTTTAATTACCAGGAGAGGATCATTGACTTTTATGGTTGCACTTCAAGTGACAATGTGTTGCAAATATGCAATATATTACTGCAATAAAAAAAAAAAAAATAGGTTTGAAGTGTATGTTTTCTCTGTATTCTTCTTATGAATCTAAACTTTGCATGTTTCTAACATAACGACGGCGTAGGTCCGCAATCACATCGTTTGCGGCGTCTAAAAATCTCCGCCTCTGAGTTATTTTTTTAAAGGAGAACAAATTGACATCATTCCTTAATGTTTATGCAGAATTTTCTTCGCACAGAGAAGAAAAATTATGGCAGTTTTAAAAATTGCTATTAAGTAGTTTTCCGTTTAGAAAATGAAGTATGACAGGAAGACTGCGACGTCGCAAACCGAGTTATGTAATTGCTGACTTACACCGTCGATACGTTGTTTCACTAGCTGTTTCTGTGCAAAATATGAGACTAGTAATAGTAGTAGCTGTTATTTTCTCAATTCTTCAATAATGAAAAAGATTATCCTGAATATAAAGCAACGCTGCAATAAATGGTGAAACAGTTCACGGGGTCTAGTTTTAAAAAAATGTATCCTCTGATGATGATGAAAAAATGTCAATTATTTTTAAAGTATGAGCTTGGAAAATATACCTATCACCGTCTCTGCTTCTTTCATGCACGAGTATTGACAAACCTGAAAATCAAAACCATAAGCTGAACAAAGATTGTCAGCAAATACATTTGAATGAGAATTAAGATGAAGCTTACTTTCACTTGATATTTGCCGTCGATCTCGTGGAGCTCAATCATCAGCGCTGCCCCATAGGAAGGAAACTCGAGCTTTTCGGTAACATTGAAACCACGCCAGAGATTAGCAATGGTAGGATCATGGGCAGAGTATACATTTATCCAACGCTCAAACTTTTCACTTGCGTTTGCTTTCTTCTTCATGTTCCTTAAGATCTCATTTATGAGGACACCTGCGGCAACAACACAAAGGAGAATCTAAATGAGGCAAACAATTGAAAAACTCAGTGACCTAACATACCTTAAGAGATATTACTACATACTTAAAACACAATAAAAAAATTCCCAAATTGTTACAGCTTTGCAGTAGGTACGTGGTATTCAGGCATTACCACGAGGGAAGAATAGATAATGTATCAATTTCATGTTTTTTATAATACTCGTAAAATATATGATTATTCGAGAGGGTTGCGACGAATCACGGATTTTCCGCAGAACTTTCCAGTACTCTGCGAAACTTTCTGATGTACATGTACTGTCTGATGCCATGTGCTTCAGTCTTGTGATTTAAATGTTAATAATATGTTGATACCTGATTTAAGTTTAGTCATGATGGGTGTTACGAATGGTCTTAAGGTAAAAATATTGGCGAGGAAATGGAGTCTCTCCCTATCGATACTATTAGCCCACTCAGGTAATGGAAGTCCTTCGTCTTCCTATCAAAATAGGAAACATGCACATAAATTCAGTCTAAATACCCCTGCGAGTTGAACGTAAATAGTTACTACTACTTAAAATAAATAAATTACTTAATAAATTACTTTTAGTTAGACTTATACGAAAAGCGCTGTACAGTTTATTTAAAATACCATTTTCAATGGGAGGGTATATTCTATAAACATAAATCGATCGACATGAATCCATCCGGCTCATAATCGGTTCACACCAAACCTGAGTCTTCTCAAGAATCTTTTAAGGAATTTCAGTGTGTTTAACGATGGAAGCGTATTCCTGCTTAAGATCTATTTTTTTTTTTCGACAAGATTAAATGAAGGCATCTTGTAAAAAAAAGGAGAGATAAGTCTATGAAATCAAGAGAAATTCTGAACGATCCAATTAAGAGTGAACATTTAATGCAATACCCATTTTCTTACCCTATCTATTTGTTCATAAATAAATTGTGTGTTCATCAATGCATTGTGTGTTCATTAATACATTGTGTGTTCATCAACAGTGGATTTCTAAAATACATATGTGTTATGTATCCTTGTACGAATCATTTTAGCTTACATACCACAATCTGCAAAATGTCATCTATTTCGTGGACGTCTCTGATTGAGCTCCTGTCGAGGCCAGTGCCTTTTGAAATGTTTGCAAGGAGTTCTTGATTTTCATCCAATTTCAGTTGGTAGATGGATTGCCATTGAGCCTCCTCTTTTAACAAGAGCGGACAATGTTTTTTCACTCGGATGATCTACAGGAGAAAACCAAAATTTACGATGAATCTGCACGTCAGTGGTGGCGCATGTGTAGGGCGAGAGGACCCTAGTAGCATGATTCACTTTCCCCTTCCTAACAAACGTATAAGGAATTAATACCGGTTATATAATCACCATTTTAACTAAAGTTTATATATCGTGTATATAAGTTTTATATAAAATGCCCATGAAAATAATTATTNTTTTCTTTCCTTCGTTTCCCCGCTTTCTCTCAAAAAGCAATCGATGATGTTGATGTTCGGTGCTGGAATATGTGCGTCGCATCTCGTAACTCGTACCGAATGTTAAATAGGGATACAAACTCATTTTTGTAGGGCATGGGGTTTCAGGACATTCTGTCAACGATTTTTTGTCCGCGCACCTTTTTTGTCCAGGAGTTTACGCCCACACGTAAAATAAGCAACAGTGACTTGTTCCAAGCGTATATTTTAGTCGGTATGTAAAATTATATTGACAATATGGAAATGAGAAATTGAGAGAGAAGGAGGTGTTATTATGGTTGCTCATTTTCTAAATGAAATGATATTACTTCCTCCTTTTGAATCATCCTTTCAAATTGTCATTGATGAATATTTGGTTTTATTTCTATCCTTAAAATATTGAATGTACAATATACCTTATATATGTATGGGTACTTTTGTTTTATTTTTTCTTTACGAAATTATTACTTCATTTTGAAAACATTTATATTTTTAAAACGTGACAACTATTTGTAAAAACTTTTCCAAGCGACATTAATCTCAATGAGCCGCAGTTGTGCCGACAGAAACTGCAAAAATGAATAAAAGAGGGGAAAAAACCAAGAAGCACGCAATCTTTAGTTTTAACCCATTTGTGCATCGATCTTTCAGACTCAAATACGTCAAATTTTGAGCGTTTCGTTGCGCGTACACCTCGCTCCAACACAATAAAAGCACAAAATGTAAAAGAAAAAATTAAAGTGCCTTGGAAATCATTAAATTTGACACGGAACCACCAATATTTAAAAAACACACATTATATTATTATTCTCCTTTGATAAATTGATACATATTTTTTTACCATCAATTTAAATGAGAATAATCAATGCAGAGTGTGCTAACATTTCAAAATCATGAGTTAAAAAACGCTGACTATGCGAGTATAAATATTAAAGCCTAAGAGAGCGGAGCGGCGTGCTGCCATCGCGAGAGGCTCACTAGCGCCTACAAACCTAAGTGGATACTCCACGTATTGCACAATGCTTGAAGTATCCACTTAGGTTTGAAGGCGCCAATGAGCGTTTTGCGTTGACCGCCCGCCCGCCGTGCGGCGGCGCCTGAAGCAACTATTTCACAACAGAGGTGTTGCACAATATTATACGAAATTGAACGTATTAAGAATGACAGGCATCCTTTAAAAGTACAGATTTTTCTTCGCAAAATAAATCAAGATACTGATCGTACAAAAGAAAAATCTAAGAGCCTTTTGCTGAAGCAAATGTAGAGGTTTATCCGGTTCAGGTATAACAAGGTGGGAATTTCTTGAAAGATATTAAGTCCTGTTACACCAAAGAGGTGTAGAGAGTTTCAGTGAATTTTGTCTCATGGAATTGACGCTTCCCCATTTTTACCAAAACTCTCAACTATATATTATTTATTATTCTCCGTTGGTCTAAACAGACAAAACAAAAAAAAACAAGCAAACCCTCATTCTTCCAAGACATTATATATTTTCATCCAGAAACGTCGTGAGCAATTGTCGTTTGTATTTACATGTGGGCCAATTAACTTAGGGTCTCAACTGGCACGTGGACCAAAACTCCCGTGCCGAAAAAACGCGTGAACGTAAATTACTGGAAAAAACAGGTGCGCGGACAAAAAATCGTTGACAAAACGTCCTATAANTTAAATCAAGCACTATTTCTTTGCGTAACAAATTATATACGGGTAGGTTCAAACCAATTATTTATTCAGCTTAATTTAACTGATTATGCGTTATTCCAGAAGGGAGAAGTTTGAATTCACTGTTCATAATGTGAACTACGAACGTTAATTTTTCCAGCAGAGGGGACTACCCCTTCCTTCCAAAGATTCATCTGGCCCTTCCCAAGAAACGAGAGGAATTTTGCTAAATAAGATCGTGGCGTGTCTTTAATTTATAGAATATTGCTTTATTCGATTAATTATTAAGTAAGAACAGCTCAAAGTTGTCTATGGGACGAATCAATGTTTTAAAAAAATTTCGAGCAGGACCCCTGGACCCCCCCTCCCCTCCTTCCCCGGGAGCTAGAGAAATTCTGAACGATCCAATTAAGAGTAAACATTTACTGCATTACTCATTTTCTTACCCTGTCTATTTGTTCATCAATAAATTGTGTGTTCATCAATACATTGTGTGTTCATCAATAGTGGATTTCCAAAATATGTGTTACGTATCCTTGTATGAATCATTTTAGCTTACATACCACGATCTGCAAATTGTCATCTATTTCGTGGACGTCCCTGATTGAACTCCTGTCAAGGCCAGTGCCTTTTGAAATGTTTGCAA